ATTCGCAAGACTTCATGTAGTTATTTTCTTGTAATGTATTCTTCATTTCAGAAGAAAAAAACGCATTGAAGTAACTATACTGCCTCGATAAATGGAACCTTCGCGCATCTTTCATACAGTTATTGTCTTGTAACTTGATTCTTTCGATGACGCTTCTTATACAACCTGATTCTTTCCTGATCTTCGAAAATAGTCGCTTGGACTTCAGATAACCGCACCAGCTTTTTTCAGCACTGCATCACCAAGACAGCCATTTCTCCCTCATCGCGTCACGCGCCGCCATTTCGAATCGGGCCAACAAGTGCGCCACAAGACGCGCCTTTTGTTTGGCAAACAAGTCATTTTGGCTAGCTAGTAGACGAATTTGACATTTTCGCCATGTTACTTAGCTTGGAATTGAGACAGAGACGCCAATTCAGTTGAAACAAGCATACTTCTGAGGTAAATTACGTAACTGCCGCCGTTACAAATAAGACCCTGCCACCTAACGTTAATCTCGCTGTGGTGGCTTTCATCTCAGAATTCTAAAGAGTAACTATAACGTACTCTGTTGCTCTAATTGCCAACGAATTGTACCTAATTTAGTATTCAATTAAACACAACCTGTCGCTAGAAAGTTTATATATATATATATATATATATATAACAACAAGTCTAGGCGTCGAATGACAAGCTAAAAGCTAACGTTACTTAGCTAGCTACAGTATCTACTCAATTTCAACAATTGCCACACTACTCACACGAAACATGTTATACTTAAGTTTAGGCTATCATTCTGCACTTCTCTAACAAAAGTAGCCCAATAAGCGATTCAGAAAAGTTAAATAAAATCAGAACGACCCGACCGCCGACACAACACAAAGAAATTGTATCAATGCAGTGTTCAGAAGGGGGATATGCTGACTGAATTTATAGTCTAGTTGTGATGCGGCTAACGTCTCAATGCGAATACCTCCGACCTAGTGATTCCACGAAATAGGCCCTACTTTGTCGAGCCTTTATGAAATTACTACGTACTTTTACTTACACTTTTTTACTTCACCGTGAAACATAAGCTTACAAACCTACTCATTTTGATTTATCGTCATGAAAAAAGGGATTCGGAAGAAAGTAACTGTGGGAGCCTATCAAAATATGCGCATTGCTTTCACATCCATGAACCAACCTATCTATATAAACAGTTTCAAACTTGCCAACCATAATACAGTACTGTAAATGTTGCCATTATTTATTATAAAGTCTACTCATTTCGTGGGTCACACAGGCTGCTGTTGGAAGAGGGAGTCAGTCATGCTTTTCAAATAACAACAGCTGACGTCAAAGCATTTGGTGCTCGGATGAATACAGAGCTAGATGTGAATAGTCGTTGCAAACCGGATGAAACTGGTATTCACTGGTTCATTCTACCGGGTCTACTACCCTTATACTGCATTGCTGAAGTTGGATTTGACTGATGTCGAACATTGTGTCACACATCTTTGATTGTGTAGCCTACCAATCAAGCAATCTCACCCATCTTTGAAACAATATAACAACTACACATTTGCAGAAGAGCTAGTTGATAACTATGTGGGAGAGAAAACCAGTTTTATTTTCCTTTAACAAAAATAGGCGGAGGAGCTGTAACATGACTCATCATGGGCATTCCAAATATAACGTAATCAGAACAAAACTCAAGATGGCTGTAGTAGCCCAGAACAAACCTGTGTGGTCTATATGCTGGAAAAGTGATGATTATTCATGAAGCCTACATCGGCAGACGCCAAACCACATCCATCAGCAGGTTTATTTGTGTCTTATCAACTTTTTTCATTTGATATCTTGGCACAACAATCCGATTAAATAAAAGAGAGAAAATTATCGAAATTATTGAATTATCTGGGTCTACCTGTCTATTTAGACACCAAGTGATCAATATCAGCTAGCCAAGGACATTTTGTGTCTTCAATATAGAAGATTAAAATAGAATCTTGAGAATCCAACAAAAGGCTCAGTTTGTTGTGTGTATGTGTGGAAAAGTACTGCCTGGACTCTGGAAGGCAGAGGAATGCGTTTGCATTCACCACCAGATGGCACAAAGCTATTTCACAAAACCTCATGCGTCACTCGACGTGTCATAGTCTGTATGAAAATGTATGCACTCTAACTGTAAGTCGCTCTGGATAAGAGTACGTCTGCTAAATGACTAAAATCTCAAATGTAAATGTAATAGTGACGATCAAACTAGGAAATGAATAGGAAGATCATCTCTAAAAGCGAAGCAGTAGGCCAAGATGGCCCAGAGCCTATATTTGGCTCTGAGTAGCATTCAGTCTCCATCACACTGACATCATCATCGCGATGACATCAAGACACAAGCCAGACTAATGTAGGAGTTTGATGAAGGAGAGTATACTGCTTAAATAGGAAATATTATGCCCTGAGCCTATATAATAGAGAAGATAGAAGCAGACATAGGCCTGACATATATTTCACAAAAATACAAAACAACAAGTCTAAAGGTCCTGGAAGAACTGCTGCTTCTCTGCAAGGTTCTTTGAACTAGATCACACACACACAGACACATGCACAATACAATAGAACAGGCATTCATTTGGGTGGTGTCTGAACATGTACATTTCGAATGACACAATCTGTCTTTATCAGTAGCTCCAGGCAAAAACACTATCAGTCATTGTGTTTTTATTTTTCAAGAGTAGGGCTGGGCAGCCTGCTGCTATCACCATTGATTATGAGTGTTGCCAGCCTTCCTTTAGGCAACTAATCTAATGATCGGTGAAAGTAGGGCGTGGAGTTCTGTCCTCTGGATTCAATGTAATCATGTCTTGTCTGGTGGGGGTTTAAACATGATATAGTTTTTGTTTAGGCTTTGTTTAGTTAACACGTGGTAAATAAGCTGTTTCAGTTACTATACCTTATTTGCATATGGATGATGACCAGTCCCTGGTAGGTGTTGGTGTGTCACACAAACAAACAATTGGTACTACAAATTTGCATTGAATGGTCATTGATGATGCATGCATTTTAAGTTAATAGGCTTGATGTCAAGGGTTAGGTATAGGGTTAGAGTTAGGTTTAGGGTTAGGTTTAGAGCTAGGGTTAGGTTTAGGGTTACATGTGAATTCACTTCTGTTACACAGCTAGGGTTGGGAGTACAAGTCTGGGCCCACATTCAACCAGATGACAGGCTACAAAATGGTCCCCAGTCTGCATGTGTTTCATGTGTGACAGGGCCAGTGCTTAATTTGTAAATTGGGAGGTGCTGGAAACAAAAAGTGAGCACAAGCTCTGAGGTACCGGAACGCATGAGGGGAATAAACACCTTAATAATTAAACATTGCATGCATATCATTGCATTTGCATAGTGGCATAGAGCAGTAGACTAGAGGCACTTACAGAAGTTGCACACATGGGGAACATTTTAGTAGCCTAGGGTCCGGGAGAAATGTGGCCTTTTATAAACGTATTTCATGCAATTCTACATAATTTTACATGACTGTTGACTTTGGCAGAATATTTTTTAATACCACACAAATGATCGAAATTACTTGCTACTTTGACACAGACAAACTGAGAATCAAAGATCAATAAAAACGACCTTGAATCCATCAATAGCATAGGCCTAGGTGTGTGGAGACATATTGTAGGCTACAATATGAGGAGGAAATTATAGTCCTAAACATCCTTGCCAGTTTCACTGACTCACCCAATGATGCGCAGGTCACTCCCCGATGATGGCCGATGCATTCGTGGCAAAAGCCTATATCTGGCTATTGTTTTACTTTGTATTTGGAAGTTGATCACATATTTTGTTAGCCTACAGCAGACAGAGTAGAGTCTTCTCTTTTCAGCAGGAGCCATTTGTCACAGTATAGTGTCTGCCTCAACACATGTAATGCTGCAGGAGCCATTTCCAACCTGTATTTTTCCGCGATTGTATTTGAAATATTGTGAAAGGCCTGTTTTGTCTGCATGCTGTTCAGTGACAGATTTCCCGTGAGTTCCCGACTGTAGGCTATGGCTTGTTATTGTGCTACACACAATCCACAACTAGGCATTAAAAAAAAAAAGAAGCTATTGATCCTCTATGGCTAAATTATGGTGTAGTAGGCTATTCTGAATTATTTCATTTATTTCTGAACAGACAGCAGTTATTCTATAACTTTGGCAAATCTATTTCAATTTAACAGAACCCTTCGCGCAGAGATTATTCAATAAAGAAATAAATGATGAAGTGCAATGCTGGAGAGATGAGAGTTGCAGGGTCATGTCTATCAGAGCAGAGAGAGGGAGAGAGATCATATAAAGTGAATCTCATTCTAGTTCTGTGAGAGATACAGACGCGCTATTCACACTACTCACACAGCTGTGGCCACGGATTTTGGTCTCAAACATAAGTTACAATGTTATGCAAACCATAAACCCGGGACAAGGCCTATATATATGATCCATAATAATCAATGATAGAGGCCAAGGGTAACCCCACACTTATAACAATAATCCACATCAATAGGATAAATGAACTGCACCAATGTTCTTGTTGCAGCTGTGTCGGTTCGATCCTGTTCTGCATTCATGAGGACAATTGTCAGTCTCACGCTTTCAATTAGGTTAGATGAAACACCATTACATCAGGATTCGATGCGGTTTGACTGATGTTGGGTCAGGGATTTGGCACAGTCATGCAACTATTCTAAAGTTGGAGGGCGAGGGAGACAGATGGATAGCAACAAGACCAGAGGCTGATAAACTGTCCAGAATTACTTAACAGCTGGATACTTCATTGAGATAGTTACTTTCCCCTTTCAGCAGAAACAACTTTGGGTTAGTTAATTGGAAACATTTAAGATAAAAAAAAAAAAAAACAGACCCTTTTTGGACGTTTTGGCATTTGTGCTTATCTTGAAGGACTTCTTACTAATTTCTCATTCAGACAGAACAGAAGTAAAACCTGTAACCTGCTGACAAAGTGATGGTTGTTCATCTTCTGCTTTGGAGCTATGATCTCTGAGGCTGACAGACAGGGAGCAGTTAGACCCAAGAGGTCACCGTCAGACGGGCACAGGGATAGGGACAGGGACCGCAGCCCCAGACGGAGAGCAGAAGCTGACCAACACTATTTACAGGAGAGACATCAGGAGGGCATCGACGACCTCCCTGCAGGGAAGAAACAAATGATGGAGAAGTTTTTCACTCCTGTTCATAGTCCTCCTCCAGGTGGGATCACATCACAGAAGCACCGCCATCACAACCCCGATCATCACCACCAGCACCAGGATCAAGAAAGGGAGACACACAGGTAAGATCACTTTTGAATTTCCCTTTTATTAAAGTTTCCTTTTTTAAACAGTAATGAGGAATGCACATTTGATGAAGACTACAATTGAGTGTGGGAATTGGATGAATACATCTTTAGGTCATGTCACCATATCAACTACAGCAGGTCACGGGACAATGATAGAGGCAGCAGTGAACGCCACGGTCACCACCATCACCACGGTAACCATCTCCAAGATGACCAGGAGCAATCCCATAGACGTCACCATCATCCTCAGCACCTTTATCACGACAACGAAATGTCGGACCACCACACCACCGTCACCCTCTCCAGAGCATCTTCCTCCTCCCTTTCATCTTCCTCCTCCTCCACCGACTCTTCCACCGAATGGTCCTCTGAGGCCGGCATTGACGACAAGTTCTCCCTGAAGCATGCCAGCCGGCCGCAACATACCATGTCCTGCTCCAACATTGCAGGAGGACGACAGTTCCGGGAGGATGACAGTGAGCTTCAGGTGTGCGCCACCGTCAAACAGGGGCGAATGCATGGAGGAGGAAACCCTGGGACACACCATCGGGCCCAGGGGAGGGGAGGACACGAGCCCAGCTACTCCGAGCTCAACCGGTGCCACAGCCGCAGTGAAGAGGGGCTGCTGCAGAACACAGGCACTGACAGAGGGAAAGCACGGACACCCCCACACCTGAAGCACGGACCCCTCTACAAGACAGCCAGCCTGGGCCGGAGCCTGGCCTTCAGTGAAGAGGTCCTGGCTGGGCCGAAGAGGGCGGTGTCCTCTATCCAACTCCCCAGTAAAGGCATCCTGAAAAACAAGGAGGCTCCGCGGGACATCCGCAAGGCCAAGTCCATGGAGGTGCTGTCCCCCCGGGTGGCAGGCAAGGAGGCAGGGCCCAAGGGGAAGCAGGATGTGGAGGCTCTGAAGGACGCAGCCAGGCAGAGCATGGTGAAGGGGAAGATACAGTTCTCTGCTTTCCTGGATGAGATCACTAAACAGGTCATCAGCCCCGCCCGTCTCAATACTCTGGGGGTCCCTGTCGAGACCGTAGGACTGGGTCCAGCCAAAGCCCCAGCATCCCCCAAATCTCAACTGAAAAGTCAGCCCCAGCTTCCCACGAAAAAGCAGGGAGATGGGCAGGGGGAGGAGAGGGAGACAGTTACTAAACCGCAGGCTCTGCCTAGGAAACTGAGGAATGACTCTGACACACGGTCACGGAAAATATCTCTCCCTGCAAAGTTTGGGTATGAAAGCAAGAACCACACTCCTCGTCTAGGCAGCCCCCCAACCCGCCACTCCAGCCAACCCTACCCACCCCACCCACCAGCTGGCTATGAAGACCAACCAGCCTCCCTGCCTGACTTCCAGGGTCCTGTCGGTAATAGGCATGGACGGTACGGCCCGCTTCTTACAGACGGCACTGTCTGCTCTAGCCCTGAACCCAGCCATCACAAACACTGGAGCTACAAACACCTTGACCAGAGCCACAGGCCCTGCCATAGCCCACCTTCATCTCCACACACCCAGCAACCCCAGCTACCCCACCGCACCCCGATCCGCACACACTCCCCTCCTCCAGTGCCAGGGCCCGAGTCGGAGTCTCCCTCCAGCAAGTCGGACTCGTCCCGGAACAGAGACCGAGACACGGCCAGCCCCAGCTCCGAGCATAGCCACAACCGGTCAACCTATCGCTGGCGTCCTAAGCCACACAGGGTGAGTCTAACTGATGTCAACTACAGATGTAGGATCTGAATTTGAGCCAGTTTGCTACAGCAGGAAAATAATCCTGCAGCAACAGGAAATATCAATTATTATATGGATTATAATTAATGGACGTTTTTGTAGTGGTTGACACATTTTTCGTTAGGACAAATCAAGTCTGAAATTTCAAAGTGGAAATTACAAATTTTAAAAGCTGTTTTAAAACACAAATACACTACAAGTTTGCATTTCCTGCTGTGCAGGATAATTCTCAGCAACAAAAGAGTGATCAAATTAAGATCTTACATATGTATGCTGGTGGAGTGAAATGGTCTAAATACGTACTATAGATAGTAGGTCCTAGCTGTAGAGTTAGGTAAATCATGCATTGATGTCAATTAGGATTTGTCCCAAAATTCTTTAAAGGTCTTAAAGTGATTCAAACCACACTGGGAGTGTCAGTTAGTGTCCTAAACCACAAAGCAGCAGTTATATAAAGATAACTCAAGCGTCATCCTCTGTCTGTGACGCTTGTCCACAATGAACCATATTAGGTAACAGGCAACCTTTATAGGCAATGTGTTGCATTGGGAACAACCCGCTACCCAACCCGAGAGTGCCTGAGTGCCAGCTAGCACAGAGAGTGCCTGAGTGCCAGCTAGCACAGAGAGTGCCTGAGTGCCAGCTAGCACAGAGAGTGCCTGAGTGCCAGCTAGCACAGAGAGTGCCTGAGTAACCCTGCTGTGGCTCTGGCTTTATTAACCTCACTGACGCACAATCAATAGCTTTTCCTGAAGCGTATGAACTAAAGTTCAATAATCAATTCCTTTGGCCCTGTTATGTCCCTATCATTCTCTCTGCCCTTTTCATCTCTGTCCAAAAAACAATCAATTCAGTTTATGAAACTTTATTAGAAAGTGAAGAAACTGCAGTGTACATTGTCAATGCTCAAAGTAACAATATCCAAAGCGAATGATGTATATGGTAATGAGTCAAATAATAACCAAATAAAAAAACTGCTGATGATAACACTACTGATACAACTAATATAACTGTATTGAAAGTTATTGAATTATAAAATAATTGACAGTTATCTCTAATCTTCTCTTCTCTTTTGCTGTCTCTCTCCAAAGGCCTTGACGGGTGACATAGGCGAACTCCAGTGAGTGTGATTTTTTCCCCCTTCTTTCTCCTCCTCTCCTGTCTGTTCATCGATGCACTTTAAAGAACATCCTTTTTATTGTGAAAGGTCACTGAATATCAATTCCACTAATGGCTTCCAAAGCTCTCTCATCACCTCTATCAGTAAAGATGGATGAAGAACAAGCTGAAGGAGAAATGTGTGTAAACAATGGTACAACGCACAGCGTTCATTCTGGATTAACTAGGCTATGTGAAATGTAACATGTCTAGAAGCTGACCTGAGCTACATCCATAGCATCTAATGTGCTAAAATGGCCTTAGGAAATGTGACTGTGCATTTTTGTAATACAATTCCATCTCCCATGACCCTCCTGTGTGTAAATAGGGCACTGCAGGAGGAAAATGCTGAGCTGCACCAGAACCTGATGCAAACAGTGGTCTGCATCGAGAGCCTGGAGGCGGAGCTAGCCAGGGCCAGGGAGGAGCTTGGCCACATGAAGGAGAAGTTCAAGAGGTCAGAGCTCATGATAATATAATGACCGCTATAATGTAACATAGTAACATGATAATATGATGACGGCTATAGTGTAACATAGTAACATCATAATATGATGACGGCTATAATGTAAAATGGTAACATGATGTCATGGTGTCAGTGTAATGCGGTAGACGAAGTCAGGCGCAGGACACAGAACTAAATGAAAACGTAACTTTACTGAACACGTAAAGAAACAAGTAAACCTCCACGCAGGGAGGAACAAACCCACTCACCAACGACACACAAAACAATAAACAAACACGCACAGAGCACAATGGGAGCCACAGGGTTAAATTGGGACGAAGTAATTACAAGATGGGAAACAATCAGACAACAACAGGTAGAACATAGAAACATAGAACATAGATCGGCAGCAGCTAGTACTCCGGTGACGACGAACGCCGAAGCCTGCCCGAGCAAGGAGGAAGGGCAGCCTCGGCAGAATCCGTGACACATGATCAATATGATGAAGGCTATAATGTAACATAGTAACACGATAATATGATGACGGCTATAGTGTAACATAGTAACATGATAATATGATGACGGCTATAGTGTAACATAGTAACATGATAATATGATGACGGCTATAGTGTAACACAGTAACATGATAATATGATGACGGCTATAATGTAACATAGTAACATGATAATATGATGACGGCTATAGTGTAACATAGTAACATGATAATATGATGACGGCTATAATGTAACATAGTAACATGATAATATGATGACGGCTATAGTGTAACATAGTAACATGATAATATGATGACGGCTATAGTGTAACATAGTAATATGATGACGGCTATAATGTAACATAGTAACATGATAATATGATGACGGCTATAATGTAACATAGTAACATGATAATATGATGACGGCTATAGTGTAACATAGTAACATGATAATATGATGACGGCTATAGTGTAACATAGTAACATGATATAATATGATGACGGCTATAGTGTAACATAGTAACATGATAATATGATGACGGCTATAGTGTAACATAGTAACATGATAATATGATGGCGGCTATAGTGTAACATAGTAACATGATAATATGATGACGGCTATAGTGTAACATAGTAACATGATAATATGATGACGGCTATAGTGTAACATAGTAACATGATAATATGATGACGGCTATAGTGTAACATAGTAACATGATAATATGATGACGGCTATAATGTAACATAGTAACATGATAATATGATGACGGCTATAGTGTAACATAGTAACATGATAATATGATGACGGCTATAGTGTAACATAGTAACATGATATAATATGATGACGGCTATAGTGTAACATAGTAACATGATAATATGATGACGGCTATAGTGTAACATAGTAACATGATAATATGATGGCGGCTATAGTGTAACATAGTAACATGATAATATGATGACGGCTATAGTGTAAAGTGCGTCAATAACAACAATAATCATTGTATAATACTGTAGTAACAATGCTTGCTCTTGTCCTTGTATATCTTTGGTGTGATTACAATACATCTGCCACTCCCTTTTCAAGTTACTGTGAGTACCAGGGAAGGCATGCAGCACATCTAGGCATGCCCTATATGGTTTACAGAGTACACTTTATGAAACTCTTATTCTGTGGAACCTGTGAAATAGCCCTTAGGGCTTTTTTCCCCTACATTTTTTCTTGGAAGGCAAATTCCACTGATCAATAGCTCCGTGTGACTGATTGGTGTGGTTAAATTGAGTGGTTCTCTGCCTGCCAGCTGTATGGTCTGATCTACTGTTAGGGTCAGAGGTCAGATGGTCTCATGACCAGGGGCCTAGGAGTGGGTGGGGGTTATAGCATACAACATGGTCCCAGAATTCATAGCCACACCCTTGCTTATGATGCTGTGTCTCTCTCTGCTGCAGGCTCCAGGACACACACACAGGTACCCAGCACACCAACAGCCTTCTGGGGGAGCAACTGCACTCAGCGGTAAGAATCAGGTTAAACATGAGAGACGGAGAGACTAAGACAGAGACTGAGAGACAGAGAGAGAGAGATGGGGAGAGACACTGAGGTTATGTTATCTAGGGCCAGAACCTGACCAGGTAAAACTGTGGGCCCTGGCCTATAACTCGTTTTTCCAGGTCAGGTCATATGGTTAAGAAAGACTCCTGCCACTAAATAAACTCATACCCCCACCCAGGCATAGAAACATACACTGCTCTGAATATCCTTCTCCCGCTCTGTCACCTCTACAACACACAGTGTTGTGTTGATTTATGTCCTCTGCTCCGTTCTGTCCTTGAAGACTGAGAGCACAATAAGTACTACTGCTATATCATCTCTAGAACATGTTGAGTCATGTCCTGAATATGTACTGAATATGTTGAGTCATGTCCTCTGCTCTATCCCTGCAGACCGAGAGCCTTAGCTCTGAGAGGAAATATATGGTGCAGCGTATCACCATTCTCAGCACAGAGCTGGAGCAGGCCAACGCCACCATCGCCTCTCTGGAGAACATCAATGTGAGCACAGCACCATCTACTGAGCAATACATGAACCAAAACCCACACTAGCTTTGTTTCACATACTGGCAACAGAAAGAGTGGTGGAAAGACAATAGGATGATTTTGTATTTGTAAAGTTGATAGTGGCCTTACATGAAAGTACTGTATCCATAATCTCCTCAACTCATGTTCCGCTCATTGCCGCCTACATGATAATGTCTTGTACCTCCTCTACTGGTTTCTCTATGTCTGTTGTATTGTATGAACTGAGAGGATGTCTGTGCTGTCCTCCAGGTTCCCTGTCTGATCAAGGAGCTCCTAGAGAAGCACTTTGACTCTGGAGACACTGTCAAGCAGTTCCTGAAGAATGCCTTGAAAACCGGCCAATCCACAGGCGACATTCAATCACCCGCTCCAAAACTGGAGCAGAAGCCGTCTGATTGGTCAGGCGCAGGACTGAGGGAGTTTGAGGCGAGTCCACAAAATGTCACTTCTTTTGTGCCCTGGAAGCAGGAGGAGGGGTTTGGGGTGATAGGTCAGACAGGAAATGAGGATTCTCCCCCGATGAGTCCCCCTTTCTCCGTCGCTGACATCAGTATGGCTATCTATAAGAAGCTAGCTGCCAGCCAAGCAACAAGACAGCCCAGGCCTTCCAACTACCAACCTCACACTGACACCCCTCCCAACCCCTACCCTCTGGTGGAGTTGGGTACAGGGGGTGCAGGAGGTGCAGTGGGGGAGGGTTACCTTCTGCCTGCTGTCAAGGGGGGCGTGGCAGGGGCAGGGAGAGCAGCTGAGAGTAAGCAGGGTGCTGTTGTTGATGTGTCCTATCTGATGGCCCAGAGGGTTCTGGATGAGTTCATGCACCAGCTGACACACCCAGAGGATGGGAGTGGAGGTGGGGGGAGGGGGCACAAGGCCAACGGGGGAGGGGGTAGGGGGAACAACTGAAGAGAGGGGTGCGGAGTGAAAGGAACCTATGAACTGCTGTAATTGTAACCTACTATTACATAGGCTAGGATTGTTCAAGTTGTGATGGTTTGTTTGTGATGGTTTGAGGCCTGTAGTTCTGCATTTATTTGACTCACTAAATGTCACTATACATTTGAGTGATGGCATTGTAAATATTATTCTGTTTCCTTCCCAAATGTCTTGTTGTGCGGTGGTAAAGAAAGTATTAGACTTAAACAATTAATTTACATATATACAGAATATAGTTATTAATCCAAGTTTGCAATGTGGTACTGTCCCTTCTTTCTGTTATGAAGTGATTTAGAATTGAAATAGTTTTTTGTTCATGTCTAGACAGTGAGTAGAATTTTCTATTTTATAACAATGACTGCTATTTTGTAAACTCCAGTAAGCCAATGAAGTAACCTTCATATCTGAATAACATCGATCCAGCTGCCATTAACGTATTACCCACTGTGTTTTGGGCTATCATGTCACATGACCTAGAGTTTAACCTTTACTTTAAGCCTTTTCCAGAAATGAGAATTACACCAACAATGAAAGTAATTGTCTGAGCCGCCCCGTGGACCAGTCTATCCGGGGTTTGTGGGCGACCAGCCAGGGGTGCCCGAGGACGAGGGGACACTCCGGAGAGTCCACAATGAAAAACTGGATATCCTCCCAGAGCCACACCCTCTGTCCCGGGCGAAAGACCAGGGCTGGGCGACGCCTGCGGTTGGCCTGATGTTGAGACCTGACCGAGGCCCGCTTAAGCGCCGCCCGTACCTGCCTCCAGGTGCGGCGACAGCGACTGATGTGGGGGCATAAATACACAGGAGAACAGGTAGACACAGGTGACACCAATAGGATAATGATTAGTCCAGACTGTGAGTGAGGAGGTGCCTATGGTTGTCGGAGGATGACAGCTAGTGGGTCGCTCCGGAACTGCGACCCCCTCCTGTAACAGGTCTTGTGACATGATTGTCCAAAACACAGGGCCCTATATGAATGCTATGCTGTCCATCCTAATAAACTATTTTAGCTAAAACTGTATAAAGCTGCTGTCATCCCCGCCAAAGACTTTTGATGTTGTAGATCAATAAAAGGACTAATTCTAAAGATGTATGGTTTCTTCATTTGTCTTTCTCCCAAACATTACTTCATGTGTTAAGCCATCACTCTCCCCCTCCCCCAGTCCCTCAGCCTGTAAGCTTAATCCATCTCTCTCTATCTGCATGTATAACCTATAGCCCTGGCCCTCTCCGTCCTGTCTCAACTCTCTGTGAGTCTACCTGTCATAACCGTCAAATCCAACCTGTAGGCCCAGTGCAGATTTGCTGATCAGACACTGGCCTGCTTTCCCATTGGTGCTCCTGTCCTAATAGGATCCCAGGGACTATGATGGGGGGATTACCATATCCATACTGTACCCTCGACATTGGCCAGTCCGTGTCCTCCACCATGGGCACAGCAGGAATTTAGGGGTGCACCTTGACCACGCATAGACCACACCAGAGGGGTTCCATCTTAAACAAATGGGGGTTGTCATTGTTAGTAATTGTGTGAATCGAAGTGTCACTGTTGTGGTGCTACCATAACCGGATGATTTGAAGGATCATAGTTTTGCTATCAAAAAAGCACGTGAATTATCAAATAACTATTAGATTCATTATTATCTTGGCCTTCAGTTTTTGTCTCACAACTTCAATTGGATTACTTTAGAGATTTTTTATATTTTCCTTTCTACGCGAAAGTTTTGGATTATCGTCCCAACCCGAACCTGTCCTTCACCATCAGACGGATCTTCCTTCTTATCTCGACCGACAGGAACAACTTACAGGAGATCAACCTGATAATAACTCACCAACGCACCCTGGAAAGGCCAAGCCGTACCTGTCTGTCTAATACAACAACCTTCGCATAACCTACTCCTATGAACCTTATTTTTTGCCCAGAACTTTCCTTCTTTGAACCTACCGATATTATTTCCCCATCCTTCACTGTTATCTCTCTCTACTTGATTATCCCAACATCTCCTCCCTCCGTCCTCTTCTCTCGCTCTCTCTCTCTCTCTCTCTTCTCTCTCTCCCTCTCTCTGTGTCCTGTGTTGGTTGTTGTGAGCACCAGCCATGGCGCTGCTGAAGCTGCAGTTCCCCCTGCAGAGGCGTGTGCGTCTGGCCCAGGGTCTGTGGCTGCTGTCCTGGCTGGCCGTGCTGGCTGGGGCCTTCACCTTCTCCCTGGGAGTGTACCTCAAGACCGAGCTGCTCCGCAGGGCAGAGGTACCGACTGACACTATAACACACACACAGCACACACACCTGTTCACACATGGCAAATGACACACACACACACACCTGATGTCTTTCACACGGCACACACACACACACCTGTCATGTTCAGACAGGACACACACACACACCTGTCATGTTCAGACAGGACACACACACACACCTGTCATGTTCAGACAGGACACACACACAACTATCCGCCTGTCTGTGTCACTACTGTTCCTGTCGTCTATCCTGGCTGGTTCCATTAAACACTTTGTTGTGTTTTCTGTGTGTCTCTCAGTGTGGCGTCTGTCTCACACCTTCACCTATCAAAGCTTTATTCACACTGCAGAGCAAAACATTGGGCTGTCATGATGCAGTTGACTTGAATCTGGACAAGCTTTGTGTGTGGCTGTGTGTATGTGGGGGGTAGAGGGGTTTATTGATGTGTAGCTGTGTATGTGGGGGGTAGAGGGGTTTATTGATGTGTAGCTGTGTATGTGGGGGGTGGAGGGTTTATTGGTGTGTGTATGTGGGGGGTAGAGGGGTTTATTGGTGTGTAGCTGTGTATGTGGGGGGTGGAGGGGTTTATTGGTGTGTGTATGTGGGGGTAAGGGGTTTATTGGTGTGTAGCTGTGTATGTGGGGGTAGAGGGGTTTATTGGTGTGTGTATGTGGGGGGTAGAGGGGTTTATTGGGTGTAGCGTGTATGTGGGGGTAGGGGGTTTATTGGTGTGTGTATGTGGGGGTAGAGGGTTTCATTGGTGTGTGTTGTGGGGGGGTAGAGGGTTTTTGGTGTGTAGCTGTGTATGTGGAGGGTAGAGGGGTTTATTGGTGTGTGTATGTGGGGGGGTAGAGGGGTTTATTGGTGTGTGTATGTGGGGGGTAGAGGGGTTTATTGGTGTGTGTATGTGGGGGGTAGAGGGGTTTATTGGTGTGTAGCTGTGTATGTGGCTGTGTTCATGACTCATGCTATGTATGGATTGTATGTATGGAGGGAGGCGGAGGGAGGGGGGTCAGTCAAAGATTCACACTTGTGACATATTGGAGGCCGTAACCTATCACCCAGATATGTAGGGTGCGCTGGTATATCTCCAATGAACCATTGATTAAGGGTGGCAAAAATCTGGGGCCTTTCAAAAAAGTAAACATTGTTTTCCAGTGCATCTGCTGGTGACAAATACCTAGCTTCAACACTCAATGATTTTCTATACGCAAAGAACATATTCTCTGGTGCTTAGCGCTATAATGTAACATACATAGATCATTTCGATGTAGTTTATTACTGTGTTATAACTAGTATATTGCCTTTGTTATTACTTTGTTATAACTGGTATAGTAATGTGAACCTAGATTTGACCTTTGACCCTCCAGGTGATGGACAACACAGAGATCCACGTGGTGCCCAACATTTTGATGCTGGTGGGCTTGGTAACCATCGGGATCAACCTGTTTGCTGGGGCGGGTGTGTCAGACTCCCTGGACTCTTCCCGGTTCCCCCCCCTGGAAGCCCTTCCCTGCTGCCCTGGTAATGGCCTGGCCGTTGGATGGTGTGTGGTCTGGCTGCTGTCTGCTGTTGGTGCTCAGCGTACGCCCTGCAGGAAAACCCTCGAGAGTCCCTCAAGGTAAGGGCCACTGGGATGGCAATGAAGAAGGGAGACGGAGACGGTGAATGCAACGGAATAACATAATGACAACACTCGGACCCTATCTCAATTAGTCTTTCTGTGATTCCTTGCATCCTATCTCCTCGCATGCATCACATCCATATTGGAGAAGGTCAAGGCCCCCCCCCCTTTCTTCTCCATTGTGTTTTGAGAAGAAGGCAACATGGACTGAGGAATCCAGGAAAATTCATAGAACAGCTGGCCCCAGAGTGTCCTCTGTAGGCTGGTAGAGCACGGCTTTACGCCAGGTATAGATTACCAAAAATTGCAGATACAAGTCGCTTTGGAAAAGCTCCTATGGCATTATTATTATTATTATTATGAGTACTTCCTGGTCTCTTTTATGACATCATCTCTGTCCAATCCCAGGTGGGCCTGAAGAACGGTATCCGGTTCTACCGGGACACGGATGTCCCGGGCCGCTGCTTCCAGAAGGAGACCATCGACACGCTGCAAATGGAACTGCGTTGCTGCGGCAACACCAACTACAGGGACTGGTTCGAGGTGCAGTGGATCAGCAACAGATACCTGGACTTCACCTCTAAAGAAGTCAAGGAGTGAGAGAGGGGGGGATGGAGGGGGGAGAAGGGGGGACAGAGGGGGAAGAGGGGAGGGAGAGAGAGAGAGAGGGGGTGGAGAGGAGAAGTGAAGTTAAGCCCACAAGCCACCGTTCTCTGACTTGTCTGAGGTGATGATGACTCGCATGGGATTTCCATACATCATGTCTCATCCATCATTAAAGCCATTGTCACTTATGTAAGGTAACATTTTACAATGGAAACACTCAATCAAACCGTTAACCTATCTTCTCTCCAGTCGTGTGCGTAGCAACGTGGACGGTCGTTACCTGATGGATGGAGTCCCCTTCAGCTGCTGTAACCCTGGCTCCCCTCGGCCCTGCCTCCAGAACCACCTGACTGACAACACTGCCCACTACAACTATGAGCACCAGAGTGAGGAGCTGAACCTGTACAACCGCGGCTGCAGAGAGGCGCTGGTCGACTACTACATGGGCCTCATGAACACCATTGGCCCCGGGATACTGTCGGTCATCTCCCTGCAGGTATACATATGCACAAACACAGACAAAATATGAACATTGACCCTTGCCCTGTAATGTGGTGACAGTAGTTTTCAGTGGTGATTTTTTTTACCATCAACCTCTGCCCCTGTGATAAGGTGGCTGTAGATATAGATGTTGTAACCATGGCTTTGAGTTTAACCTTGACCCCTGTGACATCATCTCCACAGATGTCAGTGTTGGTGAGCCTGCGGTACCTGCAGACGTCTCTGGACGGTGTGGACCCGGAGAACCCCGAAGCTGACAGCGAGGGCTACATTCTGGCGAAGGGGGTCAAAGAGACCCTGATGGATGTCAAGACTACTGTGTTCAAACTGCTGCAGTTCGGACAGGTAGTGTACTACATACCCATAATGCTCTGTGAAACATATCAGGGGTGTGTTCAGGGACGTGGAACACTCTAAACGTTGCAGATAGAAAGATAATAAATAGAGCTGACAAAATGTTCCCTTGTGGATCTGACAGACCAATCACACAGTTGGAGGATCTTAATTTGAGCCAGTTTGCTACAGCAGTAAAATAATCCTGCAGCAACAGAAAATGTCAATTATTATGGGGATTATAATTAAAGGACATTTGTGTAGTGGTTGATACATTTTTCGTTAGGACAAATCAAGTCTGAAATGTCTAAGTGGAAATTACAAACTTTGGAAGCCTTTTTAAAAACTCAAATACACTACATTTGCATTTCCTACCGTGCAGGAAAATTCTCAGCAACAAAAGAGTGGACATCTGTATATGTTCTACACAAAACATTTATATCTTAACATTCTGTAACAATACATCCTCCTGATCAGACCTGTACTACAGTACCCACAATGCTTTGTGTAACGCATTTGGTTGTATCTCACTAAAGATGTTCCAAGAAGATAACCTAATGGTGTTCCATCTCTTTATCAATACAGGTGGACGCAGGTGATGAGGCAGAAGCAGGGGCAGACGGCGAGAAGGCAGCCACGTCCAGCTAGATGGAAATATAATATATAACCATATATGGGTTTGAGACAGGGAGAGAGGCTTCTTAGTTCTGTGACCTCATGGTGGTCTAGCCTGTGACCAGGCTAATGGTGGGCTAGCTAGAGCTCTGTGTTGGCTTTGACACAGGCACTAATCTTTTTGGCTTGATTTATACTGCAACAACGCATGAGCACAAAAATACATAGGGAATCTTATCTAATCATGCTCTGCACAGACAAACAGACAAGACAAGACAAGATCTAACATTGCAGAGGGTGTTTAACCTGACAGAATTTGAAATGATAATCTTTGAGACCCAATTTTGTGCCCTGTTGCTCCTGATGGAGAATTTTATAAATACTCAAAAACAATATTCACATACTGGTGCACAAGTAAATGAAAACACACACACACACTTTGAAGTACACTAATGTTCTGATGATCTTTGATTCAGATATGACAAAATCTAAATCACACAGGTAACAACGTAATAATACGAACACTCACCCCGTGTGAAGAAGGCCTACTATTCAATCCTGGACTGGCTATAGAGTTTGTTAACACACTGCTAAGTAACATGTGAAGTTGATGTGAAGTTGGCATCAGGCATTTAATATATTAAAGATAGTTGCTTTTAATGGATTTGCGGAGTTGAGTCCTTTTGTACTAGATAGATAGATAGATAGATAGATAGATAGATAGATAGATAGATAGATACAGTGGGGGGGGAAAGTATTTAGTTAGCCACCAATTGTGCAAGTTCTCCCACTTAAAAAGATGAGAGAGGCCTGTAATTTTCATCATAGGTACACGTCAACTATGACAGACAAAATGGTCAATAACAAAAGTTTCTCAATACTTTGTTATATACCCTTTGTTGGCAATGACACAGGTCAAACGTTTTCTGTAAGTCTTCACAAGGTTTTCACACACTGTTGCTGGTATTTTGGCCCATTCCTCCATGCAGATCTCCTCTAGAGCAGTGATGTTTTGGGGCTGTCGCTGGGCAACACGGACTTTCAACTCCCTCCAAAGATTTTCTATGGGGTTGAGATCTGGAGACTGGCTAGGCCACTCCAGGACCTTGAAATGCTTCTTACGAAGCCACTCCTTCGTTGCCCGGGCGGTGTGTTTGGGATCATTGTCATGCTGAAAGACCCAGCCACGTTTCATCTTCAATGCCCTTGCTGATGGAAGGAGGTTTTCACTCAAAATCTCACGATACATGGCCCCATTCATTCTTTCCTTTACACGGATCAGTCGTCCTGGTCCCTTTGCAGAAAAACAGCCCCAAAGCATGATGTTTCCACCCCCATGCTTCACAGTAGGTATGGTGTTCTTTGGATGCAACTCAGCATTCTTTGTCCTCCAAACACGACGAGTTGAGTTTTTACCAAAAAGTTCTATTTTGGTTTCATCTGACCATATGACATTCTCCCAATCCTCTTCTGGATCATCCAAATGCACTCTAGCAAACTTCAGACGGGCCTGGACATGTACTGGCTTAAGCAGGGGGACACGTCTGGCACTGCAGGATTTGAGTCCCTGGCGGCGTAGTGTGTTACTGATGGTAGGCTTTGTTACTTTGGTCCCTGCTCTCTGCAGGTCATTCACTAGGTCCCCCCGTGTGGTTCTGGGATTTTTGTTCACCGTTCTTGTGATCATTTTGACCCCACGGGGTGAGATCTTGCGTGGAGCCCCAGATCGAGGGAGATTATCAGTAGTCTTGTATGTCTTCCATTTCCTAATTAATTGCTCCCACAGTTGATTTCTTCAAACCAAGCTGCTTACCTATTGCAGATTCAGTCTTCCCAGCCTGGTGCAGGTCAACAATTTTGTTTCTGGTGTCATTTGACAGCTCTTTGGTCTTGGCCATAGTGGAGTTTGGAGTGTGACTGTTTGAGGTTGTGGACAGGTGTCTTTTATACTGATAACAAGTTCAAACAGGTGCCATTAATACAGGTAACGAGTGGAGGACAGAGGAGCCTCTTAAAGAAGAAGTTACAGGTCTGTGAGAGCCAGAAATCTTGCTTGTTTGTAGGTGACCAAATACTTATTTTCCACCATAATTTGCAAATAAATTCATAAAAAATCCTACAATGTGATTTTCTGGATTTATTTTCCTAATTTTGTCTGTCATAGTTGACGTGTACCTATGATGAAAATTACAGGCCTCTCTCATCTTTTTAAGTGGGAGAACTTGCACAATTGGTGGCTGACTAAATACTTTTTTCCCCCACTGTAGATAGACAGACATTCAACTGAGTTGGGTTATTTCAGTTCACCCAGAGGTATAGGACGATGTGTGTGTAATGACAACGTGATGCCAGTGATACTGTATGCCTATGACAGTATGGAGCGGAGTGACTGTACAATGTAATCTGGGCTGCTAGGTATACTCTGACACCTCTCATAACACCTTCATAATCCTAACATAGCTAATCCTTAGACTACTGCTACAGCAGTTCTCTGCACAGCAACAGGAACACTGGAGAGAGATGGAGTAAAAACATACCATAACAATGGACAGGGTTTGGAGAAAGTTCACTTGAAAGTGTGCTCATGTAGAAAGTTGTAATTACATTTTAATTATGTTTTGACCCCCCCAAAAATGTTGAGTGCAATATTAACTGCGCACTATCTTACTTATAGCCAACATGTTACATTTTTTATTTGCTGTTTATTTTCTTATTTTGTCAAATAGTTCATACACTCTGTGTTTTACGACAATGTTCAACATGTCATCCTTCTTTGATAAGTAGAACGTTCATTGATTGTAGGCTACCGACCTTTACACCATATTCCCACCAGGGTTCGCCATTGCATTACACCTGAACGCGCATCGAACCACCGTCCTGTTGAATTGACCATTTCGAGGCCTACTACTGTACCCAAAATTGGTTACAGTATAGCTTGATCAATCTTGACGCATAAGCTACAAGCACCTGAATAAGTGAATTGTAATAGAAACATTGTAACAAACGTCTAGGCAAGATACCACAGAGTGCGCACAAAGTAGCCCTAATATTTTCCAAAGTCATTTGTCTTTGAGCGGCTTTGTTTTATGGAAACATACTCACTGGTAAAAGTGGTGATGACTGTGCGGGGTAGGCCTACAGAACTAACGCAATGTGAGCGTTTAGAAAATCCGGTGTGGTTTTGCATTGTGCTCACCACCAGACTAGTATTCTGCCAGCAGCACAAATGATGACGTCACGTTTTTATGGTAAAAGCGAAAGCTTCAAAAATAAACGCCCGCATTTCAAAACATTGCAATGTGGATAACTAATTCAAAATATTTTTAATCAATGGCCACTTTTATTGTGCCAACAAGAAATGGCATTAAGTAATTTACGAAAACAAATAAAAAATATGGTATATATATATATTCTTTTTTAAGACCAACAATGTTGACTGGTATGTTGAGAGTATTGGGCTGTAGAGAGATATTTTCTACCTGTCTCAGCTTAAGGGGGTGTAAAATACTCAGTAGGGTCTCTACTAACCAAATATGTGTAGTTTGAGGGGGACTGTGTCGTACATTTAAAGAAAACGAAACATATTTGGGTAGTAGAGACCCTATTGAGTATTTCCCACCCAACTTTAGCTGAGACAGATAAAAAAGATCTCTCTACTAGCCTATATGTATCCCATGTACAGTCTAATACAGTGTATTGCATTGGGAGCTATGGAGAGGGTGGAGAACGAAGTGTTGCTTAATATGTAGGACACGGTATTCAGACCCCTTCACTTTTTCCACATATTGTTACGTTACAGCCTTATTCTAAAATTGATTAAATTGTATTTTTTCTTCATCAATCTACACACAATACCCCATAATGACAAAGCAAAAACAGGTTTAGAAATGTTTGCTAATTTATTAAAAATAAATAACGGAAATATCACATTTACGTAAGTATTCAGACCCTTTACTCAGTCCTTTGTTGAAGCACCTTTGGCAGCGATTACAGCCTCGAGTCTTCTTGGGTACAAGGCTACAAGCTTGGCACACCTGTATTTGGGGAGTTTCTCCCATTCTTCTCTGCAAATCTTCTCAAGTTCTGTCAGGTTGGATGGGGAGCGTTGCTGCACAGCTATTTTAAGGTCTCTCCAGAGATGTTCAATCCGGTTCAAGTCCGGGCTCTGGCTGGGCCACTCAAGGACATTCAGAGACTTGTCCCGAAGCCACTCCTGTGTTGTCTTGGCTGTGTGCTTAGGGTCGTTGTCCTGTCGGAAGGTGAACCTTCGCCCCAGTCTGAGGCCCTGAGCACTCTGGAGCAGGTTTTCATCAAGCATCTCTCTGTACTTTGCTCCGTTCATCTTTGCCTCGATCCTGACTAGTCTCCCATCCCTGCCGCTGAAAAACATCCCCACCTCATGATGCTGCCACCACCATGCTTCACCGTAGGGATGGTGCCAGGTTTCCTCCAGACATAACACTTGGCATTCAGGTCAAAGAGTTCAATCTTGGTTTCATCAGACCAGACAATCTTGTTTCTCATGGTCTGAGTGTCCTTTAGGTGCCTTTTGGCAAACTCCAAGCGGGCTGTCATGTGCCTTTTACTGAAGAGTGGCTTCCGTCTGGCCACTCTACTATAAAGGCCTGATTGGTGGAGTACTGCAGAGATGGTTGTCCTTCTGGAAGGTTCTCCCATCTCCACAGAGGAACTTTGGAGCACTGTCAGAGTGACCATCAGGTTCTTGGTCATCTCCCTGATTGCTCAGTTTGGCCAGGCAGCCAGCTCTAGGAAGAGTCTTGCTGGTTCCAAACTTATTCCATTTAAGAATGATGGAGGCCACTGTGTTCTTGGGGACCTTCAATGTTGCAGAAATTTTTTGGTACCCTTCCCCAGATCTGTGCCTCGACACAATCCTGCCTCGGAGCTCTACGGACAATTCCTTTGACCTCATGGCTTGGTTTTTGCTCTGTCAACTGTGGGACCTTATTTAGACAGGTTTGTGCCTTTCCAAATCATGTCCAATCAATTGAATTTACCACAGGTGGACTCCAATCAAGTTGTAGAAACATCTCAAGGAAGATCAATAGAAACAGGATGCACCTGAGCTCAATTTCGAGTCTCATTGCAAAGGGTCTGAATACTTATGTAAATAAGGTATTTCTGTTTCTTATTTTTAATACATTTACAAAAATGTCTAAAAACCAGTTTTTGCTTTGTAATTTTGGGGTATTGTGTTTTCTGAGGATTTTAATATTTTTAAAATCCATTTTAGAATAAGGCTGTAACGTAATAACATGTGGAAAAAGTCAAGGGGTCTGAATACTTTGCAAAGACACTGTATATTTGTAATTTATTAAAAGTATATTTCTTTAAATATAGCCTACACATACCGGTATTTGTGTAAGTTTCAAAATAAATTCTGTCATAAATAATACGATATAAAAAAAAAAATATGTCAAATGATCAATACAAAAAATTCAAAGGTGGTTGCAGTGCTGTAAAAAACTGTTGTACGGAACTAGATATTCCCAAAGTTTAGCATATCTTTGCAGGGTGAGTCTTATTTTGAAAAATAAATGCTGCCAGCCTAATGTTCTGCTGCTAGGAGAACGGTAATCACCACCAGCACTAACTGTAAAAGTGAGCTAGAGGAAGAAAGAGGATAAGGGAACAGAAATGTCAAACCCACTTCACTTGACGCAAGATGGATTCTCTTTTTCACTTGTTAGTAAAATTGCTTTAATGTAGGATATATTTTATTAATAGTTTTATAGATGTTTGTAAATTCTTTATGCGACACCATGGACTCTAACATAATGGCATTTCTAGAAGAATTCATGGAGAGTGCGTTGGTGACTTGGGTATGTTTGAAAGCTTATTTAAATCACTTTCAGATTCTATAGCAGTAGGCCTAGATATACGTGATGATGAATAGTATTTTATAAAACATAAAACACATAGCCTATTGCTGTTGTTTTGCTTTTATGGAGTATCAATACAATAAAATCCTGTACATAAACAACCTGTAAATAAGATTTTTTTCTCAAATGAGATTATGCCATTTTATGAATAATTTATAGCTCTTTATTTACCGGAGTTATAACAACATGAATGGGTTGAACTTGAATCAGATGCAAATGCTTGTCAAAACTTTTGTCAGCAAACAGCTCCTAGTTCTCAAACTTCTCCTTTTCACAGCTTCCTATACCCTGGCTCATATAATGTATCTTGTTGTTTTCCCTTATAGCTGTCACTTCCTATTCCCGTTCCTGTTTTTTTCTCAGTAAAATATGATCTACACCACAGATTCTAGATAACAGCTTTCTCTGTTAGCAGAGGATCTCCTTATGGACTCCATATATATTGTTTAGGTTGTATATTCTGTTTCTATGGTTTCACCCATAGAATTACATATAACAACTTGTTAATGGAGTAATTTAGGGCTCGATTCAATCCATAGCCAGAATATCTGCTTTGTAGTGTGGTTCACATTTAAAGGTAATTTCAGGTTTGAGCCGATATATGCTCCGTTTACCGTGAATGCAGTCTCCGTGACAGCGGGAACATTGCCTTTAATTGTCAATCGCGCTATAAAGTGGATCTTCAGCGCTACGGATTGAATTGAGCTCTTAATAGGATCAACCCCTCCCTCAGGTACAGCTCTTTGATGGTGTAGTGGACAGGGAGGACAACGTCATGCTCTACAACCAGTACATGGAGGTGAACTACAAGTACCAGAATTCCCATGACCGCTACATGAGGCTGACCAATGGGATCTTTCTCAACGAGGTCATGAGGATCATGTAAGTTCACACGTTTGCAGAGGCTTCAAAAGTTGTGGCTAAAGGGATGTGTACTGAAGGATTCGATGTAATACATTTATTTTACTTTACCCGATCAAAGGTATTATAGCTGGTGAAATACTGGGTTAGATATTTACCTCTGCCAAGAGGTGAGGGCTTTTATGGCAGAGGTAGTAGTGCACACTGGCTCAAGCCCCACTCTGGCTTTTGTACTAAATAAGCCTTTCACCTCTGTCTGTCTGTCTGTCTGTCTGTCTGTCTGTCTGTCATTCCCAGAGACCCCAACCCCAAGCTGGAGCATTTGTACCGCAGTGGAAGAGACGACCAGATGCTCAGAGTCCAGAACTTCTCCATCCTCAACCGACACCTCAGGGCCTTCTACCAGGTATTGGTATTTGTGTCGTGTTTGATACACAATCACGTCTTAGTCAGAGCAATTTACTGCACAAGGTCCAGATTTAAGCCTAGGGAGACATCCAGTCAAATCTCTCTGAGAAATTAACTTTAGTCTGATACAATGCATTAAACACACAAAAACATGAGTCTTCACTGTTTCAGTTCCTGCTTTTTTATAAGTCATTCAAACCCTCTGAACAGTGGAGCATCATGGGAGGGACACCAGCGAGTTTCAGGGAATATTCAGGAAATATTCTGAAATATTTTGGAAACAATTTATTGACAGGACTGTTTGTCATGACAACAATTCCGTCTTGTCTGGTGTTGCTACGATGTAATTTTGTTTCTTGTGGTTTCACTTTTTGCTTTATGTTTCCTGGTCACACTGGCAGTACTGTGAAACCTTAAACCACCAGCAGCATGTGGTCACTCTGCAGCCTAATTTCTCTCTACCAGGGCTTTTCTGAGAACCAAATATAGCCATTGTACTACGTAGAAACAGACGTGAACAAGTAGGCCTACTTTCCCCTCTAACGTCATCTGTGTTTGTATTCTAAACTGAACTGGCCAGCAGGATGCTACTGGAAGGTTTTGTCATTTCAATGTTGATTTGAATAGTAACTGCAATGTGGTTAGGGAAATTACAATCAATCAATATTTTAATCCCTTCAAGCTCTCTCTTTGCTCAAACCCTCTCATTCTGTCTGTAGGAAGACCTACAGCAGCTGATTCTGATGCCTCTTCCAAACATTGCCATTTTGGGGCAAGACCCCCTAACAGGTAAGAAGATCCAGTTAAAAGTACAGTATCTCTGATTGGCTTTCTATGTTGTCTATGAGAGTGTGATGGGAACAAGATAGTCATAAGAGCTGTAACTTTCAGAGGCAGCAGTGGAGGAGTTGAGGAGATTGCTACTGCTTTTACTGGGATGTGCTATACAGGTGATGTCTCTCTCTCTCTCTCACACACACACACACACACACACACACACACACACACACACACACACACACACACACACACACACACACACACACACACACACACACACACACACACACACACACACACACACACACACACACACACACACACACACACACACACACACACACACACACACACACACACACACACACACACACACACACACACACATACACACACTGCACTTGTAACTTTACCAACCTTACTGACTACTCATTGTTGGTCAGCAACAGTGTGAGAGGAAGGAAACATTCATACAGCAAATCCAGTCACTGGACATCGAGACTCAAACTGCCATTGCCAACTGTATCCAGGAGGTCAGTTCAGTTCCCTACTCATCTACCCATAACCAGCATTAACGTTCAGCCATTTTGTCCCTGAATGCTCAGTCACATACTGTTATTACCATAGAGAGGTAAGAAACTGTTGTTCCTGCAGGTGACCCAGGACCCCAGAGCGGTGCTGCCACTGCAATGGGAGGAGCTGGGAGGGCTGGAGGGGGTGGAGCTACAGGTGCTTTTTGGCTCCATGGCCAGACAGATCCAAGGCCTGCTGGCACAGAGAGACACACACCTGGAGGTACACACACATACTCACAAATATGTCCAGAACAACAGAAGAGGAATTGAATTATGAAACCAGGCCTTTCAGCCATTCAGCCTCTATAGGAGAGTGTATTCCCAGTGAAAGTATCACTGTGTCAAACCTGATTTAAAAAGCTCTAAGGGTTTCTTACTCTCACAGATTCACACAAAACCTGGACCTGATTTCAACACCTTCCTGTCCCCCCCCCCCCCCCCCCCCCACCCCTCCTCCTCTCAGAGGATAGCAGAGTTGTGTTGGACTAGCGAGTTCCAGCAGGCTGAGTCTGCCATGGCACCCCCAGGTGGTCACACTGAGGAGCTGCCCCAGAGTCTGGCTGTCCAGCTAGCAGACAGCAGGGCCAAACTACGACGCCTCAAACAAGAACTGTAAGACGTGTGAGTGTGTGTGAGACAGTCATGTCAGTGTGTGCATCAAAAAGGTTTTAAGTTGGAGGAAGACTTTTCTTTGAGAGATGTCTGGTAACTGTTATAACTATGTTGTCCATTTCTAGGGAAGACAAAGCAAGTGTGTGTTAAAGGTTTTTAAATTGGAAGAGGACTATTCTGTAAGAGGTGTCTGTAGTTTAGTAGCACAATACTATTGCGATAACGACATCTGTTTCTATAGGGAAGAAAAAGGGGATCAACTATTGGATTACAAACAGGAAGTTCAAACTATGGAGGTGCAGCTGAAGAAACTTCAGAAAGAGGTATGGTTTTCTCTATCATCACTACCAGTAACTGTACCGGAACATTACGCTACTTTTGTCCTCCTCTGACCTCACCTCCATCTTGTGTGTGTTGGGCAGAACCGCAGTCTTCAGGGTGAGGTGCGGGGAATGCGTGTGTTGCGTGACGAGCTGGATTGTCTTCGTGACCGTGCAGGCAGAACCGAGCAACTGCAGACAGAACTACAGAGCTGCAAACATAGACTACGCAGCCTGGAAGTCACTCGCACACAACTGAAGGTATTGCCGACGCCACCTATACACCAGACACTGTTTAGTACACAGAGACACTACTGAAGGTATCGTCACCAAGACACCATACACTGTTTAGTACACAGAGACACTACTGAAGGTATCGCCACCAAGACACCAGACACTGTTTAGTACACAGAGACACTACTGAAGGTATCGCCACCAAGACACCATACACTGTTTAGTACACAGAGACACTACTGAAGGTATCGCCACCAAGACACCAGACACTGTTTAGTACACAGAGACACTACTGAAGGTATCGTCACCAAGACACCATACATTGTTTAGTACACAGAGACACTACTGAAGGTATCGTCACCAAGACACCTTACACTGTTTAGTACACAGAGACACTACTGAAGGTATCGTCACCAAGACACCATACACTGTTTAGTACACAGAGACACTACTGAAGGTATCGCCACCAAGACACCATACACTGTTTAGTACACAGAGACACTACTGAAGGTATCGTCACCAAGACACCATACACTGTTTAGTACACAGAGACACTACTGAAGGTACCGTCACCAAGACACCATACACTGTTTAGTACACAGAGACACTACTGAAGGTATCGTCACCAAGACACCATACACTGTTTAGTACACAGAGACACTACTGAAGGTATCGCCACCAAGACACCAGACACTGTTTAGTACACAGAGACACTGCTGAAGGTATCGCCACCAAGACACCCTACACTGTTTAGTACACAGAGACACTACTGAAGGTATCGCCACCAAGGCACCAGACACTGTTTAGTACACAGAGACACTACTGAAGGTATCGCCACCAAGACACCATACACTGTTTAGTACACAGACACTACTGAAGGTATCGTCACCAAGACACCATACACTGTTTAGTACACAGAGACACTACTGAAGGTATCATCACCAAGACACCATACACTGTTTAGTACACAGAGACACTACTGAAGGTATCGCCACCAAGACACCAGACACTGTTTAGTACACAGAGACACTACTGAAAGTATCGTCACCAAGACACCATACACTGTTTAGTACACAGAGACACTACTGAAGGTATCGTCACCAAGACACCATACACTGTTTAGTACACAGAGACACTACTGAAGGTATCGTCACCAAGACACCATACACTGTTTAGTACACAGAGACACTACTGAAGGTATCGTCACCAAGGCACCAGACACTGTTTAGTACACAGAGACACTACTGAAGGTATCATCACCAAGACACCATACACTGTTTAGTACACAGAGACACTACTGAAGGTATCGCCACCAAGACACCAGACACTGTTTAGTACACAGAGACACTACTGAAAGTATCGTCACCAAGACACCATACACTGTTTAGTACACAGAGACACTACTGAAGGTATCGTCACCAAGACACCATACACTGTTTAGTACACAGAGACACTACTGAAGGTATCGTCACCAAGACACCATACACTGTTTAGTACACAGAGACACTACTGAAGGTATCGTCACCAAGACACCATACACTGTTTAGTACACAGAGACACTACTGAAGGTATCGTCACCAAGACACCATACACTGTTTAGTACACAGAGACACTACTGAAGGTATCGCCACCAAGACACCAGACACTGTTTAGTACACAGAGACACTACTGAAGGTATCGCCACCAAGACACCATACACTGTTTAGTACACAGAGACACTACTGAAAGTATCGTCACCAAGACACCATACACTGTTTAGTACACAGACACTACTGAAGGTATCGTCACCAAGACACCATACACTGTTTAGTACACAGAGACACTACTGAAGGTATCGCCACCAAGACACCATACACTGTTTAGTACACAGAGACACTACTGAAGGTATCGTCACCAAGACACCATACACTGTTTAGTACACAGAGACACTACTGAAAGTATCGTTACCAAGACACCATACACTGTTTAGTACACAGAGACACTACTGAAGGTATCATCACCAAGACACCATACACTGTTTAGTACACAGAGACACTACTGAAGGTATCGTCACCAAGACACCATACACTGTTTAGTACACAGAGACACTACTGAAGGTATCGTCACCAAGACACCATACACTGTTTAGTACACAGAGACACTACTGAAGGTATCGTCACCAAGACACCATACACTGTTTAGTACACAGAGACACTACTGAAGGTATCGTCACCAAGACACCATACACTGTTTAGTACACAGAGACACTACTGAAGGCATCGTCACCAAGACACCATACACTGTTTAGTACACAGAGACACTACTGAAGGTATCGTCACCAAGACACCAGACACTGTTTAGTACACAGAGACACTACTGAAGGTATCGCCACCAAGACACCATACACTGTTTAGTACACAGAGACACTACTGAAAGTATCGTCACCAAGACACCATACACTGTTTAGTACACAGACACTACTGAAGGTATCGTCACCAAGACACCATACACTGTTTAGTACACAGAGACACTACTGAAGGTATCGCCACCAAGACACCATACACTGTTTAGTACACAGAGACACTACTGAAGGTATCGTCACCAAGACACCATACACTGTTTAGTACACAGAGACACTACTGAAGGTATCGTTACCAAGACACCATACACTGTTTAGTACACAGAGACACTACTGAAGGTATCGTCACCAAGACACCATACACTGTTTAGTACACAGAGACACTACTGAAGGTATCGTCACCAAGACACCATACACTGTTTAGTACACAGAGACACTACTGAAGATATCGTTACCAAGACACCATACACTGTTTAGTACACAGAGACACTACTGAAGGTATCGTCACCAAGACACCATACACTGTTTAGTACACAGAGACACTACTGAAGGTATCGTCACCAAGACACCATACACTGTTTAGTACACAGAGACACTACTGAAGGTATCGTCACCAAGACACCATACACTGTTTAGTACACAGAGACACTACTGAAGGTATCGTCACCAAGACACCATACACTGTTTAGTACACAGAGACACTACTAAAGGTTTCGTCACCAAGACACCATACACTGTTTAGTACACAGAGACACTACTGAAGGTTTCGTCACCAGTACACCATCAACTGTAGCCACACTCAGCTGATGGTTGGCCCATTCCAAAAACAACCCTTAGCCCCTGCTCAAGCTACTTCCCCTCTGTGTTTGTAGATGGGTTTACAGAAGGTGAGCTCCCTTAATATTGATGACACTGTTGCAGTTTCTACCTATAGTATAGGTGCTAGGTACTGTAGGTGCTAGTAGGGCTGTGGCGGTCATGACATTCTGTCTCAGCTAGGGCTGTGGCGGTCATGACATTCTGTCTCAGCTAGGGCTGTGGCGGTCATGACATTCTGTCTCAGCTAGGGCTGTGGCGGTCATGACATTCTGTCTCAGCTAGGGCTGTGGCGGTCATGACATTCTGTCTCAGCTAGGGCTGTGGCGGTCTTGACATTCTGTCTCAGCTAGGGCTGTGGCGGTCATGACATTCTGTCTCAGCTAGGGCTGTGGCGGTCATGACATTCTGTCTCAGCTAGGGCTGTGGCGGTCATGACATTCTGTCTCAGCTAGGGCTCTGGCGGTCATGACATTCTGTCAGCCGGTTATTGTCATGCAAAAGACTGCTGGTCTCACTGTAATTGACGGTAATTAACATAAACCTGTTAAGCATCTCCAGGCCTTCATGCATACAAGCTGCTGATGTGTGCCTTTGGAACATCTACATTTTAAAAAGTGTAATAAATCAATTTAATATACACCATCACAATAAATCCATTATTTATTTTAGTCAGGTCTAAAGAAACATTATGATATTAAGAAATTGTATTTCAGAAGAACGGAATATGAGTTGGCCTACTGTAGGGCTATGTAATCTGACTATGCTCCATGCCATAGGCTGTAGGTTTGTTAATTTAGCTGACAAGATATGCTTATAAGTCCCGTGGCATTATTTTATATGATTTTATAGTAAGAAGAATATAACTGAAGTTAGCTGAATAAAATAGAAAGGATATTTTTCCCATTATGCAGCGAGTGCGCAGATGAAATGGCTATGTTGAGCCATTTGAAACAGGCCCTATATGCTAGATTTAGAGTTATTTGGCAACTTTAGTTGTGAATGAAACAAACCTTAGAATGTCTTAGAAATCAAAACTGTATATGGGCTGCATGATGCAACTGTAGGCTATTGATGATTTGAGAAAGTCACAAAAACAACTTGTGCTCTGTTCCTTGCCTCAGGCTGCACATATGTTCTCTCATCAAGTGATCATATTTTCACCCATCAGACTATTCTCAATTTAATCTTGTCTTTACAAATATGTAAAATTAGTTTCGACTTAGAATGGCCCAATATCAAATAGGTAAGAACAGGTGCAGGGGGGAAAGACGTCATCTGTATGCACTCTAATAGGTCATGGAGACCGCTGACTTTTTCGCCGGTCCATTTTGTGGCTACTTCGGTTTTATAGCGGAGCTGTGCTTAATATGAGTAGCTGAGAAATAAATATAATAACACGTATTTCACTCCACAAGTCAACCACTGTTTGAGGAGCATGCTTTCGCTGCCGACTGGTGATATAACTCCCAAACTCTGTATGCTATGGGCTCTCCAACCTTGCTCCTGCAACTACCCAGTGCTTCATTTTTGCAACGTAACATATTTCATTAAATTGTTCACCACCCGTCTGCACGCTTGAGAAAGGAATAAAGGAGAGAGAGGAGGAGATGGAAACACATGGTGGTGAGATATTCTGTAAAGCTAAAGGTAATGTGTCACCCAGTTAATTAAATTAATTAATTAAAATCCTATTACTAGGTTATTCAAAATCAAATATAAATTAACTAATTGTAGGCTAACTGTAAGCCGCCCTGCACAATCAATGAACCAACAGCATCGCCTAGGGCAGGGGTGTCAAACGTCCGGCCCGCGGGCCGGATCAGGCCCGCAAACGGGTTTAATCCGGCCCGCGAGATGATTTTGAAAAAAAAAAAAAAAAAAAAAAGAAATATTAATAATAATTTTGTAAAGTATAAAAATGCACTGCAATTTTTCAATAAAATAAACTGCTGTTCCAATTGCGTCCACTGGATGGCGCAATAGCAATTGTGTTAAGCAAGCAAACTGTTTATACCGGGGCAGAGCAAGTAGGTCAAGCACGTGCAGCCAATGAGCTACTTTGTTTTGCCCGCAATATTTATTACGGCTTCTACTTTTAACATTATGTGCTTTGGCACCCTCATTGCCCCAATATGTCTCTGTCAAAAAAGAGAAAAGTGGACACAGAGTGCAGAGTGTTCCAAGAAAAATGGTCATCCTATTTATGCTGAAAGAATATAACCTTCGTCGCCACTATGTGAGTCTTCATGCCGACAAATATGACAACTTTCAAGGACAGCGGAGATGAGAGAAGGTGAATGAACTGTTGGCGGGTCTGAAGAAACAGCAGTCTGTGTTTACTCACAGCCGAGACATCAGTGACGCTGCAGTGAAAGCTAGCTACCTCATTGCTAATGAAATCGCAGTGGCTTCAAAACCATTTAGTGAGGGTGAATTTGTAAAAACATGCATGATGAAGGCAGCGGAGATTGTGTGCCCTGAAAAGCGGCAGGCTTTTGCAAATATCAGCCTGACAAGAAACACAGTTGCAGACAGGATTTCCGATCTTTCAGTGGATTTGGACAGCCAGTTGAAGCAAAAAGTAAAGTCATTTATTGCGTTTTCGGGTTGCAATTGATGAAAGCACGGACATTACAGATGTTGCACAACTGGCCATTTTCATCCGCGGAGTTGATGACACATTGACCGTCACCGAGGAGTTCGTGGAGTTGGTGCCGATGACAGATACAACGACAGCAGCTGATATTTTTACCGCACTCGTCGGCGCGCTGGACAGGGTCGGAGTGGACTGGTCCCGCGCTGTCAGCCTGGCTACAGATGGTGCGCCCTCAATGATCGGGAAAAAAGCAGGCGTTGTGACAAAGTTCAGACAGTGCAATCTGCAAATGGAGGACGTGATTTTTGGACTTTTCACTGTATTTTGCACCAGGAGGCTTTGTGTTGCAAGTCATTAAAGATGGATAACGTCATGAAGGTGGTCATCCAAACTGTTAATTTCATCCGATCCAGAAGCCTGAATCACCGTCAGTTTGACAGCCTTCTCAGAGAGAAAGACCACATCTATGGCCTGCCATACCACACTGAGGTAAGATGGTTAAGCCGAGGTGCTGTGCTGAGGCGTTTCTTTGATTTACGAGAAGAAATTGAACAGTTCATGGAAGAAAAGGGCAAACCAGTGTTAGAATTTCATTCTGCAGAATGGATGCAGGACCTTGCATTTATGGTGGATGTTACAGAGCACCTGAATAACTTGAACAAACAGCTGCAAGGGCGCAACAAAGTTGTCACGCAGTATTATGACAGCATACGTTCTTTCAAGTTGAAGCTGTCATTGTGGGAGACGCAACTTGCCGGTGGTGATGCAGCTCACTTCCCCTGTCTGAAAAATTTGTGCGCGACCCAACATGTGGCAGACATGAAGCGGTTCAAAGATAAAATAACGGGACTGTTACGGGAGTTTGAGCCACGCTTTCAGATTTATGTTTATATGTTGATGTGCTATTGTTTTTAATTTATTTTATTTTATTTGTATATTTAACCTATTCTTGACTCTGTGGTTCTTGCACTTGTTTGGGGAACAGGATTTCATTATTTTTATCTACATTTCTGTCTGAGAAATGACACCCTGATATAGTTCTGTGATATACTTCTGTGAATCACTGAGGCATTGTGTGTTTGTGTGTTCTTTGTCCTCAGAACTTTCAAATAACTTGAGGTGTTTTATGATTAATAGTGATGTTGTGCTTTTGGACACTGTCCTCAGGCTCCAGCTTTATGTTTATATGTTTTTATGTTGATGTGCTATTGTTTTTAATTTATTTTATTTTATTTGTATATTTAACCTATTCTTGACTCTGTGGTTCTTGCACTTGTTTGGGGAACAGGATTTCATTATTTTTATCTACATTTCTGCCTGAGAAATGACACCCTGATATAGTTATGTGATCTGTGAAACAGTTCTGTTAATCACTGAGGCATTGTGTGTTTGTGTGTTCTTTTTCTTTAGAATTTTCAAATAAACTTGACGTGTTTTATGATTAATAGTGATGTTGTGCTTTTACTATTTTGGACACACTGTCCTCAGGCTCCAGCTTTATGTTGTATGTTGATCGTATTAAAACAAAGAAAACAATCTGAAGTTGTTGTTTTTAAGTTATATATACCATGATTTTTCCGGTCCGGCCCACTTGGGAATAGATTTTCCTCCATGTGGCCCCTGAGCTAAAATGAGTTTGACACCCCTGGCCTAGGGCTATACATTCTCCCCCAGACTCATGGATATACATTTGGGAGCCTAACATAAGGTAACTAGTCCATCCAATATGCATAATAATACAGTCCGCATTCAAAGGCGATTACTCAAATTTGTTTAATTTTAGAGTATAGGCTAGACCAACTATGTACCAAAGACATCTTAAATCCGTTTTATGTTTTTCTGCCATGGGTAATATGCGGTAGGCTATATATTGTAGCAATTTAATTCCGTTTTTTTTCCGGGCTTGAGCTCATAAGCCTATGCATATGCATAAGCTCTAATATGCATATGGGTGTTTTGAATTAATCATCACCTTAGAAAGCGCTGTCCATTTCGTTGTGTTAGGCTTTGAAACAACATCCACAACAACCATGTTTTACACTGTTTCAACCTGCTGTTGAACTTCTTTCTTCAAATTGATCATCACAGTGAGGTGAGTTTTAAAAGTATGATAGGCCTACTGTTTTGATGATGTATTTAATGTGATTTACGATTTCATTTGCATTGAGGTCAGAGTGGTTAGAGAGACAGAGCCCTGAGTACCAGGCCATTAGGATCTGATGGTCCCGTGTCTCTGTCTCTCTGTCTCTCTCCCCTGTCTCTCTCTGTGGCTCTGTCCTTGTCTCTATCTTTCTCTGGCTGTGTCTCTGTCCCCTGTCTCTGTGTGGTGCCCCCCCCCCCCCCCCCCGTAGGAGCAGCAGCAGCTGTGCGTGGCGCTGCATGAGACCCGGGTCCTGCTGGAGGAGCAGCTGGCGGACACACGGCAACGCTGCTCCAGCCTACGGGAGCTGGAGAGGGACAATCTATTGCTGCGACAGAGACTCATAGACCTGGAGGGGGTAGGTAATGATGGTAATGTGTATGTGGTAATGTGTTTGTGAATCACAAGTAAGGAATTTGGCATCTGCTGGTTGGGCTCACACAGACATATTCCCTAATTTGTTGGTGTGTGTGTGTATGTAGGAGCGGGACACTGAGAGGCAGAGGGTCGATGAGCTGTTAGAGATGAACATGGGCCTGGAGGCTGAGCTTAGACATAACAACAACAATACAGGCACGATGACAGCTGCTCCACATTTCCACCAATCAGAGGTGGAGTCTGACGAGGAGGCTGGGCTAAGACAGGAGCTAAGAGAAGAGATTGGTCAGTCAGTCTGTCTGTCTATTGTGTGTCTTTTGAGTTCAATTGTTTGATTATTGTAGGGCGGCGCACAATTGGCCCAGCGTCGTCCGGGTTCTTAACTGACTTGCCTAGTTAAATAAAGGTTAAAAAAATAATAATAATAATAATAATACACCTCCTCTCTAATTCAAATTCAAATAAGCTTTAATGGCATGAATGGGTACCACTGTTGCCAAATCAATGCAATTATATATCTGTTTTCCTCTCTCTCTCTCTCCCCCCCCCCTCTCTCTCTCTGTCAGATCTGAAGCCTCTGAGTGTGGAGGTGGTTGAGGCGTCGTCACTTAGGCTTCTGGGAGCTGAGAATGAGAATGCCGAGCTGAGGAGATGTCTGGAGGACCTGCAGTCTGAACAGGTTAGGACTCATAGGGTAAGTGTCAATCAATCAATCAAAATAGAATGAGTCTAGAGTTAACCTCCAGAGAGCAGGCA